CGTTTTCTGGCTGTTTAATTTATTTTATTGTTTGAGCAGGAAGTAAGCGTAGTTATTTCTGACAAGGTTTTACTTTTTTGTAGTTTTTTTTCAAGCAATAGACTGTAAAAGTAAAATGTTAATCACACTGAAACTAGAAAATTAATTCCCAGTCTCACAAACCCAGGAGGTCACTGTTTCTACCCCCTCTGTCTTTGTGTTCAGGGGTTTTTTTTTGTTTGTTTTGTTAGTAATTTGCTATTTAGTTGAACCCTTTTGTGTATTTTTTACAGAATTCCACGTGCCTTTCTTCCTAGTGGCCTTATCTTTGTTACTAAAGCACAGTGGCGGGAGGAATGAAAACACTGATTTGCAAATATCCGTCCTCAGGGCCAAATCCTGATGCCTTACTTCTGCAAGTAGACCCTCTGACTTGGGTGCCCCTGCTTGCACGAGTAAGAAGAGGTTTTGAGAGTCTTCTGGACCTGGTGGGTGACATTTCCTGGCAGTGCAGAGAGCCAAGCGTGGCTCCTTGTGCCCCACGTCAGCAGGACAGGAGGGGTCTGCAGAGGAACCACAGAGGCTCTTGGCTCCGTGAGATGAGCAGGAAAGGTTGGATGGGCAGGCCAAGGAAGGGAAGCCCACGTTTACACATTGGCCAAACAGCCCACGTGGGAGGGCTTCAGCTGCTGGTGGGGCAAGGCCCCCACCCAGCTGAGTGTGTATTTATAAATATCCTGCCAGGAGAAGCAGCCTGTGGTGGGAATACAGCAGCCATGGTCCCTGCCTGGCTGGGGATGGGTATCCGCACCTTTCTCCCTGGGCACAGCAGGAGCAGGGGGAACAGATCTTAACCTTTCCTCCAGAGGAGTTCTTGTAGCATGGAAAAGCACATCCTTATAGCTTTAAAATAATAGCAAGAATTCAGATGTACAAAAGTGACGTGCTGTTAATGCTGGTGGGTTTGGTTTTGTTACATTTTATCCTGATGTGAATATATACAGTGACTAAAGCATGTGTTCATCCTCATCAGGGGCCTGGTCCGAAGCCTTTGGAAGGCAATGGGAAATGTTTTCATGAGCTTCTGTGGGCTCTGAAGCAGGCTCAGGACAGAACAAGATCACTTGTAGAGGACAAAAAAAAAAATGGAAAGGAAAGATAATTAAGGTGGCATATCCCAGTGTGTTTGTCTTGGTTTAACTGGTTCCATGGAAAGCTTTTGGGGAATGAAGGTTTTTTGTGCACCGTGAGCACGGCATTGGCATTCTCTTTGTGGTTTTGCACTATATTGCGTATTTTGCAAGGTTTTCTGTGGAGCCTTGAGGCTGAGGTCTGTCAGTGAGTGCCAGAGTCTGTGCTGTGAGCCAGGGCTGCAGGGAGGAGAGCAGGAAAAGGGAAGAAGGAGTGTGCAAGGGGAGCACTTGCAGCTGCACGGAGTCACTGACACTGCAGGCAGGAGCAGCCCATCAGCAGTTGGCTGTCCCCCCGTGCTCCCAGGCAAACAGGGTGTTTGAGGCAAGTGCTTTAAAGCAGAGATTATCACAAGCAGGACATGGAGCTGTATGTTCCCCTGGCACCACTTTCCCTGACGTTCCCGGGAGCTCCGCGTGAGCAGGGAATCGGATAGTCCAGAGTTCTCCTAACCACTCTGCTTGTTTATCTGTTTGCTGGGCCCCAGCATGAGCAATCTGTTTCCCACCTCTTCTTCACCCATGTAACTAAGATGGTGATGACAGTAGCTGTATATGCTTTGCATGAAATCATTCAGCCATTTGGAAAATTAGAAATACCCCGTATCGCTGTCATTTTAATGGAGAATGTGTACTTGGCTCTGAAGGAGTTGATGGTGGATTAACATTTGGTCTGTGAAGCTCAGACTATATTTGGAGGCAAGCTAGGGAATATTTCAGAGCAGTTGTTGGTGTGATCATCTCTCGTAATTGAAGAGACTATGGTGTTACAATAGTACCTGTTACTTTATTTTTAATTTTTCCTTCTTTGCATTCGTTGTGTTACTGAGGCTCTGAATGCCATGGCTTTGCAGCACAGTTGATGTGGAAAACTGTGTATTTTGTTACAGTGGCACATTTCTTGGAGTGTCTGGTACTTCTAATAGGAGACTTCCCACTCTTCACTGGGAGTGGAGGATGTACATAAAAGCAGTGTTTTGGGACAAAGTGAGATTAATCTATTCTAGTCTTCCAGATATCGAGTAACTTCCTATTATCTTTTACTCTTTCTTTCTTTCTCCCATTGAAAATAAGTGTCATTCCCTCCAGATAACGTAGTTATAACCTCATGTTTTCTGCAGGTACATATGCACAATATAAAGACTCATTGCACGGTACAGTGTGTTTAAAATAGAAATTTAAATAAGTAGTTTTATTCCTTACAAGGGTAAGTTTTTATTTTGTGGCCCTCAGGCAGGCAGGCTCACTGCTCTCAATAGACAGTACTCAAAAGCCCCAAAAAGTGTCCAGGGCCAGATCTTTGGCTGCTGTAAATAAGGCATTGCTCCACTGATTCCCAAACCAAGGATTTTTACGTGGTGGTTAGAGGATTTGGATGCTGGTCTCCCACACATGGGGAGGCAGTGAGTGTCCAAGCCCCACAGACAGCCCTTATTATCACATTCTGTTGTTTAAATGGAAGGTATGTCTACCTGGCATACACATTCCTTCTCTTCCCTCCCTCTCTGTTATGGATGAGAGTAAAGGATCATTTCAACTTCACATATGTTTGTAACTTCTAAGTCCACTGGAAATCTTACAGAAAACATTGCCAAATTCTACTGCTTTACTAGTCCCAGACTCAGCTTTGAAAAATATGCCTAAGGAAATTCTCAAAAAGCACGATGTTAAAAACCCCTCTCTTCTTTACTACTTTTGATTAAAGCTGCCTCTGTTTCACCCAGAGTTTTGCAGGAAACATAATGAATTTGAATGCTCTGTGTGGACTATTTGCAGCATTATCCCTGTGGTCTTACCTGCAAGGACATTTCAGCAATGTAAATCACAGACATCCATTGAGGCCAGGTCCTCAGCTGGGCTAAACAAGCACATTTCCTTTGACTTTAATGTCCTTTTTTGCCAGCTGGGAATATGGTCCATTCATTTCACTGGTGTTAGGTCAGGGATGGATTTGGCCCAGTAGACAGTGGCAGCACAAACCAGAGCACAAGGCTGGCACTTGGGTAGAACCAAACAGTCACAGTCTATCAAAGCATATACCTCTTCCCATTTACTGCTTTCCCCTACCTGTGGATTCAGGAAGACTCATTCAGAAGGTGGCTTTACCCAGAGGTGAGGCTGGAACTGTCATTACTGCTCTCAGTCTGAGACTGATGACAATAATGGGCAGGTTCTGACTTCAAATCATGTAAAATCACCTCAATAATGATTTTCATTTAAATAAATCAGGGTGGAATTTGGCCCTGTGTGCACAGGAGCTTTTCATGTACATACATTTCCAGTGTCTGTGCACTTTCCTTAGCAAGGGGGATGAACAAGAGGGTGCATCCCTCCAGTAACATGTGAGGTATGTGTGCATGGCTCTGGGGACATGAACTGCCCAGTGCTTGAGGTCGAGAAGAGTGTCAAATCATGAAAAAGAATAGTAATTTTATAATTCTGAAAACAAAAATAATGGTATTTTTAAAAGCAACGATGCCTGAAGTCTTCCTGTATCTCCTAGGAGTTATTATCTTGAAGGATATTTTATACCTTAGTTGTATGTTTCATATAATTTAAAACTTGCTTCTTAAATTTCTGAACTCAAGGAGGGGGTGAATCTTCTGACTTTCAGGGTTCACATTCAGAGGATATTTGTTCTTTTGCTGCATGTACTGTTTGTCCAGAACTAACCAGTTATTTCTCCAATATGGGTTTTATTGTGCCTTACAACAAATATTAAATTTAAGCGGAATGTACGCGTTAGAGGAGGGAATAATCAAGAAGACTTTACTGCACTGTTAGGTGATGCTGCCCCAGAGTGTATCATCAAACATATCTGTGCTTAATTACCCAACCAAAGAGATCTAAAGTATGTATGTTTGTTGTACTGTAATAGGGGTTTGTGCCTGGACAATTAAGTGTTTTATTTGTATTCTGAGATGATGTGAACTTATTTTTCTAAACACTATACTGAATAAACTTTATATTTATACACATCTTGTGTAAATATTTCTCTTTGGATGTCATGTGAGGGCTTTGAATTTTGATTTGGAAAAGCAATCTGAAGTAGAAACTTGGCTTCTAATGACTCATCATGAAAGATGATGGCAACTAGGAGTGCCTGTGCTTGCCAGGGATTTGATCTGCACCCTATTTAAGCAAGAATGAGACTTTCTGTTGACTTGAGGGGGTTTTGTTGGAATTCTAAAATACTAAATTAAAAACCATAAATCTTATACCTCATATTGAACCTATTTGTGTCTCAAACTAAATTTATACTGTAATTAGTTGGATACTATTAAAATCTACTTCCACCTGCTAGTTAGGGCTAGTCAGTATTTACTTGTGGTTCCCATGACATTGGCGTGTGTTCTGTGTCAGGGGCTTTTTTTGGGTAGGTGTACTCCTATTTGCTAAATTCCCGTTTGTTGAAATTTTTCTTTAAAATGTTTCACATAGTGTCAGACTTGGTTTTGGCAGCCTTTTGAGAACAGCTTGAAATGTTATGTTCCCCTGATATTAAAAGATTTAAACACATTACCATATTACTTCAGATCTGTGTTCCAAGTACCAGCATTGCCTGGTTACGACTTTGATGCCAAAATGAATGACACTAAATCCAAATAGACTAATCTGTGCAGGTGAAATAGTTTCCCTTAGTGAAGCTGTATACATTAGACATAATTAACAGCCTGCACATGCCAGCAGGAAAACACCCTTCCATCCCTTTAAACTGTGTTTAGGCCAGAGGAAGCACGGTGAGGTTGGGGAGATTTTTTTTTTGTTTGTTTGTTTTTAATAGATACAGTTAAAAAACATGAAATTCATTATTTTCTTCCTCACTAAGACATTGCCTTGGTGTTTTTCACCATTCCTCCACCTTTCCCATGGATCGCAGCCGCGTCCCGCTCTCTCCTCGCAGGGAGTCCCCTCCCAGCCCGGGGAGCATCTCCCTCTTTTCTCGAGGCTGATCCAGCTCTGCAGCTGCCGAAGTAAATAATCCAGTTACCCAGGAGCAGCCCTAAGCCAGAGCCAATTGCCTCATTGCCCAATTCCTGTTTCCTTCCCAGAAGCGGGCGCTTGGCTCAGTCGTGTTCGCGGCGCTCCCTTTGCCTGAGCACAACTGGGATGGGATTTTCCTGCCAGCACAGACCGAATCCCAAACTGATCCGCAGGCAGCTCTGTCCCAGCTTTGCTTGCAGCAGGAGCTGAGGATTTAAAGCCATCCTCCACCTGGCTGGGAGCAGCTTCTCTCAGTTTAGGAAGGACATTGAGATGCTTGAGCGTGTCCAGAGGAGGGCAACGAGGCTGGTGAGGGGCTTGGAACACAAACCCTGTGAGGAATGTTTGAAGGAGCTGGGGTTGTTCAGTCTCTTCCACCAGGCAGCACTGACAGAACCAGAGGACACAGTCTCAGCTACGTCAGGGAAGGTATAGGTTGGATATTAAGAAAGAAATTTTCACCAAAAGAATAGTAAAGCACTGGAATGCTCTTCCCAGGGAGGTGGTGGAATCACCATCTCTGGATGTGTTTAAAAAGGCTGGACATGGCACTTGGTGCTATGGTCTAGTTGAGGTGTTAGGGCATAGGTTGGACTCGATGATCTTAGAGGTCTCTTCCAACCTCATTATTCTGTGATTCCGTGGTTCTGTTTCTGCCTCACTCTGTGGGCAGGGAAGCAGCTCCAGGACCACCACTGCCAGGCTGGCTGCAGCCCATGCCCCGGGAAGGGATTTGTGTCTGTGCAGCCCCCACAGGGGCTCTGGATGAAGCGCAGGGGTTTGAGAGCAGGCGAGAAGAGGAAGGTCTCGGCAGCGTATGCAAATGTCCAAATTCTCCCCGAGCAGCCACCCATGCGGTATGCAGGATGAATCATGTCCTAACGGAGCGCATTCCTGCTACTTTGGAGCGCTTTGCAGATGTGCTCCAGGTCACCCTGGGCGAGAAAACCACACACAGCCACAGCTCCTTCTTCCCTGGCAGCCTGTGCGCAGATGGAGAAAGAGGGGACAGCACCTTTGGAAGGGTGGGCAGCTGGATCCCTGAGCCCCTGCCTTTCCCACACGACCTGGGGATGCTGCAGGGAGGAGGGGGCTGCCAAGGCAGTAGCTGGGATGGAGTTGGTGGTCGGAAGGCTCGGGGAGATGGGTGGTTTCTCTTGATCTAGCAGGGAGACAAGCTGGGAAGGGAGACAATGCTGGAAGACAGCACTTATTATGCTCTATATTTGTCTTGATTTTTCCCTGGTGCCAGATCAGAAGGGGATTTTGCTGCTCCAAGAGGCAGAGGTTGGGTCAGGAAAACAGGATTTTAATATGAATACTCACAGCTTGGGAAGCAGAGGTCTCCTTCCAGGCTGCATCCCCTGTTGTGGTGATCTCTGGCTGCAGAAATCTCTGGGCTGGAATCTTAGGCCAGTATACGGATACAGATCACATTTTTAATATAAAAATACATTTTAGAAGGAAAATGATTCCCAGAAATGGGAATTCATCTGCCAAGCAACGTGCACATAACCGATTTCACACTTAGAGGTGCCAGAAAGTTCAGGAATGAGACCAACAATAAAAACCAACACACGTGTGAAAAATCTACAGCATTAAAGCCAGATTCAATAAAAATAGCACCTAGTTTATATGCTACAGAAGCTGGCACATGCCTGCAAAAGCTGAAGGAAAGAGATAAAACGTTCAGAAGTTGCATGCAGTCCAGAGGAATGGAGCAGCCCTGGAGCAGCGCTGATGGTTACTCAATAACTCATGTACGATATTCTCCCCTGTAAGTGCTTTAATTCTCCATCCTGCTACTTCTCGGGCAGAAAGACCCACTTCGGAACACTCGAGGCCGATCAATAAGCTTTGTTGTGGCAGCCAAAGTGCTCTGTGATAGACCTGGCGTTATGAAAGGACTCCCGGAATGTTACACGGCATCGTTTTCCTCGCTGCTCCGCACGCTGGCAGGCAGAGCTCGGCGCTCTCGGCATCCCCAGCGCCGCCCGAGCTGCGAGCGCAGCCCCTCCCCGGAGGGCACAGAAACCAAAGCAGGCTGGCAGGAGGGGAGGGGACGGACACCAGGGGTGGCACAGGCAGGTTGCAAAGCCAGGTCTCTGACTCCCCCTGTTGCTTTGCCCACCGGCTCACGGCACCTCCGCGGGAGCCCGATCCCGCTTGGATGCATGACAGCAGCAGGAGGACTTGGTGCTGACGCCAAAGCTGAGCTTGCTCCTTTCATCTATTTGTTGTGTTTACAGCCACCTCCTCGTGGTGACCAGTTGATAACTAGACTGGTCCTGGAGCAGCACCCCTGAGCCTCCAAGCACTCAGCCTCCAAAATACTGTACTTGCCTGGATCGTTAGCTCAGGGTGATGCACATGCAGGTCCTGGAGGATCCCAAAGCCACCCACTTCCAGATCAAGGCAATCTGAGAAAAGTTTGACTCATCTTCCACCAAGCCCAAGGAGCTGAGAGGGAGAAATGCTCAGGGGAATGAGGATGAGAGTCCAGAGCCTGAGCTGTGCATGCTCTTGCATGTCCTAAGTCAGTGGCTTCTTAAAAGAATATGTTGAGAACAAATGACAATTTGGATGTTACTCATGTCCTAGGGAAATACTGGGGATTTTGCTATTTACTGCTGCTTAATCAAACCAAGGCACGGCAGGAGATAAAAGGCAGTTCTAAAAGGCAACACTCAACACCATCCCAAGCACATTCACAATGCACATACAAATACACAAGTCTATATTAAAAAGTCTATATTGTCTATATTAAAAAACATTATCTGTTGTGTTGTATGCACGCAAGTGGAAGTGAGCATTGACCAGATTAAGACTAAAAAATAATATCTTTATTTTGAGGTCCGCTATGTAGTTGTGCAAGAAATGCAGCCTCTTCTTCTTCTTGCAGGCAACGTATTAGAGCCCAGTCCCAAAACTCCACCACAGACAGGTTCAGATTTCTGACTTGCCGCTGTTAAATGTGCTGTCCCCTTGCTCAAAGCCTGTGGCAGAAGAGCAGCAGAGGCAGCAGGGGCTGCTGCCCTGTTAGTGCTGTTCTTGGAGGAGAGAAAGACTCAATATCGGCAAGAGGGAGAGCTGCAAACTCTAGGGAAGCGACACCACCAGCATGTGGGAGGATTTAGGCACATCACACCCCTGTGTGGGGAGTCACATCAGCTTCTGAGGGCTGCTACTGCATTTCTGCTCCTCTTCCCTACTAATGTAGCGCCGCTCTCCCCAGAGCTTCAAACACTGAGGTGTTTTTACTCCTTGCATCACCCTCAGGGTTTGTGCCCCCCCAGCTTTGCCAAGAAAACAATGAACTCCAGACTAGAAAATACTCTTTTTTACACATCCACCCACGAGGTGGGTGGGGTGTGCAAGACCACAGCAGCCCAGCCTTCAGGTCAGTGAGCACTGAGGGGCTTCAGCTGAGCCCCTGTGGTATCTTCCCCATGAGTTTTTTTGGCTTGTGAACTCCCCAGGACCCACCAGATAAATTCCAAGGGAGGTTTTTAGAGCCTGCTCTCATTTGCCATCTTCCCCTCAGCCCTGCAGACCTCTTGATATGAGGTGGGACCCAGGACTTCCAAAAACAGCAGCACCTGGCAGCAGGCTGTTGATAGCAGCCTATTTCGAGGTCTGCCTTTATCAGGGAGGACCTGGAAGTGCTCCCAGGAGCACAGGGCATGCTGCACATTCCAGCACAGCTGCCTTGCACTGGCCAGCAGTGCTGCAGGATGCCTGCAGGACAGAGGTCACACAGCACCAGCCAGCCCTCCATGGCTCCAGGACAGCTCACTGCCCCAGTACAGAGGTGTCAGGAGGACATTTGGCACCTCCTGCTACGCTCAGCAGGTCTCACTAAATCCCTTCTGGCCTCAAGTTCTTGTAGCTATTGTGGGGTGTTTTCTTGTGCAAACCAAAGGCAGAGTTAACCGGAGCCTCAAGCCAGGAGAGCTTCATCCCATTCCTTTGGAAAAGTCAGCCCCAGCAAATGAAACCCCTTGAGCAGTTGCTCAGGTTTGTGTTTGTTTCCCTGTAATGGCAGCAAACATTGCTTACTTGGACATGGTGAGAAGTGCTCCTGTTCCTTCCAGATTTCCTCACCAAGATCTGAATCTTTTTCACTTAAGTTTTGCATCAGTTTGGGTTACAAAAGCAAGCCTTGTTTCAGGTGAATGATGCTCATGACAAACAAGGAATAGTCATTTGGTGGTGCCCTGGAGGACCAGACCCTCAGATTAAAGTACAGAGTAGAGCCTATTTCTGTTCATCTCTTAACTATTCTCAGTTATTAAGGTCTTTTTAGAAACCATAATAAACGAATGTGAATAAGTAGCTGAGCATACTCATTACACTGGAAAGCGGTAGGAGAGCTATACCTAAGCCCAAAACCAGGGAACACTCCTGCTTAGGTGTTACCAGAGCCACATCCAGTGAAAGAAGAGCCTCCTGTCCTGCAAGCTCTACTCCCAGCCCAGGCACCACAAGATCCCATGTTTCAGCATCCAGGTCTCCACCCTGTGAAACTCATTCAGAATCATCAGTTCATCTGCATTTAATAAGCAGACCCTCTTCCAACATCCAAGATGTCCCTGCAAACACAGCCTAAAGCTGTGCTGAGTGAAACACTTGATCAAGAGATCACTTTGATCACTTTCATCAAGAGATGGTAGTATTTTGACCTGAAAGCACAAGACAATCACTGATTCAGAACAATTTCCCACCCACCCCGCAGAGACTTGGCCCAGATCATATTTCCCCAGTTCATTGGGGCATGGAACAGCACCAAAGGCTGGTGGATGCCAAGCTGTGTCACATCTGATGGCTCTTCCCTTTCCAAGCAGAGTATCATGTCATCAAAGGCAACGAGGCTGGCACGACAGAATTTGAGAATCCCACTTTATAGCTGGTAGAAATTGAATCCCAGCAAGTCTGTCAGTAATGATATATTCCAGGTAATGCAGGATTGAAATCTCCTGGCCCCAAGTCTCAGTCTTATACTTAAGCAACAATCTGATTTGTCAACTTTCACAATTTATGGGCTTTGCAATATTTAGTAGATGGTGAGAGAGGGGAAGTAGGCAAAGGAGTTATGGCCACGACTTCCTGCTCAACTTCATTCTTAAGTTCCTGGTTTTAAAATACAGAAATAAATTTGGAGATACTGAAGGTCTCCAAGCCAGAATACATATAAATTTGGATGTATCACATCTATCTATCTATCTATCTCTCTCTCTCTCTCTCTAACTGCATTTTATCTCAAATCTGGTGCTGTCTCATGCTCTCCAAGCCTTTGGGTCTGATAGCACTTTGTGCAACAAGACACTTTAGGAAAATAAACAAGGGTATAAACAAGGGTACAAAATAGGTGCCATTTTAGAAATAAGACTAATAAATGGTCTACAAATTCAAGAGAGTATTTGTCAAAGCTGCCCCTGGGCTCAAATGTCCATAAACTTAAAATCAGGCTTTTCAATTAATTTCCTAGACTATTGCAGTATAATCAGTAAAGCTAATAGCTGATTTGAAATAAAAAACCCTCAGTATAACTCAAGCTAGAGACACATTTCACTGACCTAAAAACAACCCCCCAAAAATAGCATAGAAATGCATTTCCTAAAATCAGCACTGTAAAAGCAGTTCTGTTTTTAAGGAATATTCCAGCAAATTCATTCTACATCCCTGTGTAACACAGGCAGGGTTTCCAGAGCATCCTGCTCCTGGCAGCTCCCAAGGCTGGCAGCACAGACCATTCCATGGCAGGTTGCAGGAGACCCCAGCTCCACAGCACACCTCAGTACATGTCTGCATACAAACTGCATTTTGGTGCATCCATAATTAGCACAAAGCAAATGGCCTCTGGTTGTGACAAATGGTTTTCAGCTCAGTTATCACCCACAGCAAGGACCAGAGGAACCTTCAAGGGCTGTGGGAAAGGAGGCAGAAAAGGGAGAGAAACCTTCTTGAAGTGCCTTTTATTAGCTGCCACCCTCAGCCCTGGCCCTGGAAAAATCCAAAGTGTTTGTTCTCCCAGACAGACTAAATCAATTTGGGGATTTTTATTTGTTGCAACCTAACAAGTTGTTGCAAGAAGAAAAATCCCTGGGCTGCTCAGCTCATTCTGCCTCTTAAAGCTTTGGCCTAAAACAGAAATTTGAATGGCTAATGGTGGTCTTCCTTCAGTTCTGACCATAATGAGTGTTTAAATGTTCCAAATACTTGTATTTTTGCAAAATAACAGGAAGCACCAAGAGAAAGATGAGTTATACTTTATTTTTCAAGCCCTACTCAAAGGCAGCTTGAACTGTGACTATCCCAAGATTAGCTGACGGTAACTACTTGGAACCAAAACTCCAGTTCCTAAATATCTGGATTTATACATCCCCATCAGTACAACAACAGTAACAGCAATTCCCTCCTCCATGGCAAGAGGCACAGCCAGGCTGGGGCTCACCCAGAACCCCAGCTTTACCTCCTGGAGTAGCACAGTCAAAATACTGAGGCCAGACCCTACTGATCAAACATTTATTTATATAAAAATATATATATATATAAATGTATAGCATATATTTACATATATTGTGTTTTCATATGTAACATATATTGTATTTCTATTATATAATCTGAATATATTATTTGATATTATATATACATAATATATGAAACGTTCAGCTTACCCAGATGACTGCTCAGAATTGTTTTGGGTGCTCAATCTCTCCCTAAACTGTGCCAATGCCTCCCTCCTCCCTGTGCCTGCCCACCTGCTGCACACTGGTACCAGGAGCAGGGCACAGCAATGGAACCCTGCCCTTCCCTTTACCTCCCCACTTCAGTGACATTTGACCAATTCTGCTCCTCTTCAGTCCACGTGCAGAGAAGGGAAAGTTATTTTTCACAGAAATGTAGAATGGTTTGGGTTGGAAGGGACCTTAAATCTCATCTCATCCCAAAGGTGGGGACACTTTCCAGCAGACCAGGTTGCTCCAAGCCCCATCCAACCTGGCCTTGAGCACTTCCACAGATGAGGCAGCCACAGCTTCTCATTCCAGTTGGGTCAGGAGGACACCAGTGCTGCAGCCAAGGCTGGACACTGCTTTTTTAAGAGCCATTCCTTAACCAAAGTGCTCCTTTCATTGTCTGTCTCCCAAACCCACGAGCACAGCTCTGCCTGCTACAGCACTGTCCCCGTCCTGGGCTCCCAGTGGGTGTCCCTGACCCACCCTACAGAGCTGTCACAACCTTTCTGAGCAGCCACTTCTACCAGCAAACAGATCACACTCACAAATCACTGCCTGGAAAGTCTGTGTGGTATGTGGCTTAATTTTCTTTTCCATAATATGAAATCCAATCTGAAATGCACAGATTAGTTTACTAATCTGTGTAAATCCTATTAATAGCACTTACGCTGCTGTGCTCCCATTCACATTCTAACAAATCTGCTTGCACTGGTTTGGTTTCCCCTCATCTCCTGCAAGATCTTCACACCTGGTTGCTGTCACGTCTTCACAAAATAGCTGGCCACAAATGGCAACTTGTGCTTTGCAGTCATCTCTCATCCTTTAATTTGTGTCCCATGGTCCATCGTGTTCTGGATCAAAGCATTAGAGCTGTAAATCACCATGGTGCCATCGAAGCTAAAGGGATTATACAAAGGATCACACAGCTCCAGTGGGGAAGGGCAGAGCTTGTACCCTCCTCTCCCACAGCATCTCTGGCTTCTGTGCCTGCTCCAGCTGCATCCTGCCCCTCACAGCTCCACTGGCACCCCAGTGACCCCATCCTGCCCGGGGCACCTGGCCCAAAACTGGCCCAAACACCAGCAAAGGACCTGCTTGCAGGGAGGAGCTGATGGACCATGTCTGGAGCCAGTAGATGTGCTCACAGCAGCCCCACACACATGCCCTTGTCACCTGTGGGTTTAGGGTGGCACACCTGGGCTTGTGCCAGGCACAGGGAGCAGCCTCACTGGCAGCTGGGTGAGCTCCCCTAAGCCAAATGTGGGCTTTCCAAGAGAACACACCCTCTGTTCTGCTGTAGAATAAACCATTCTCTGCTTGAAACAACAATATTTACTTTTCCTGTAGTGGACTCCAGTGGCTGCCTATGTCACACTCACGGTGAGAGGAGTCAGAACCAGGAGAGCAGGGCTTGCATGCCTGGCTCCAGCTTCCTAGTCAATAAGCTGTGCATTAATTAGCTAATCCACCTCCACACTCTGTCCCTTGTTCTTCGTTTCAGCACCGTCCTGGAGTCCTTGTAACCGAGCACCTTCCACAGCCTCAGCCTGCCCCACAGCATGCCAGCTCCATGCAGAGCCAGGGCCATGCTGCTCCCTTGAGCTGAGGAGTCCTTGCCCTTGGGCCAGGCTGGAATTTGCCAAAGCCAGCCCTTGGGAAGGGCTCTGAGCTGCTGTCACTCCTGACTTGTGCCTTGCACTCTTCCAGCACCTGCCAGCGCATTCCACACCTTGTGCCAGGCAGGAGAGGGTGGGTGCAGGATAGGAAGACACCCTGCCAGGGAAGGAGCTCCCCAGAATGTACCAGATGGGAGGTGTTAATGGAGAACAGAACATGGAAACTCTCAGGTGATGAAGGGAAAAGGATCTACTCTAGATTGCCGAAAGGATTGGAGTTAAAACTGCTTTTGCATGAGTTCACAGTAGGACAAACCCACTCCCTGCCAAGGGACCCCTGCTCCTCACATGAGTCTGTTGGCTGCATGATCCCCACCATCCAGCTCTCCCCAATTCCCAGGGCCAAGCTCTGAAGTGCTTTCACTAACCTCAGTAAAAAGGCCAGACCTACAGTGCCAAGACAGTTCCAGCACAGCCTTGGATACATTTCCAATGGCTTTTCTACCAGAGTGTGAAACAAATTATTAGCATAAAAGATTTGTGGCTTTTCTCTTTGCTTCCCTGAAGCTGAAGGTAGAGGCAGCTGAACTGCCTCTACCACCCATCCAAATTGGATTTTCTCTCATCACTGTAGAAAATTTTCAAGGTCAACAATGCTTCACTCTCTCCTAGTTTCCCCTAAAATGGTTTTAAAGTTTTAATTACCTGAATAATTCTTGTGGTTTACTTGAGTGTTAGCTCAGGAATTGTTTGTAATACCTAGTTTTGTGGAAGAAATATTTTAAAAGCATTACCCACACTCAAGAAATTTTCCCCAAATTCTCTTTTACAAGGGGTTCTTACCTGTTGCCTGTGTTAAAGCTTGCCTGTAAAACAGCTGTTTGTTTGCAGACCTTTAATCTCTTGGTAAAGGTGCCAGTTGTGAGATATTAAAATGCCACAAAGAAAAAAAAAATTAAACCAAAAAAATTAGGAATTTTCAGAGTGAGAGAGACAAGCAGCCAAATACAATATGTGGCCAGACAGAATCAGAAGTGCTGGCTGCAGAACAAACCCAAGAAGCATCAGAAAAACCTCCCCAGCCATGGTGGAAACGGTTCATCAGCAAAAGGAATGTACAAAACAAAACGGGGGGGAAAGATCCCCCCCTTCCTCCTCTGCCTTGCTCCCAAAACACATCTGCCACCGATGCCTCTGGTGCATGCAAATGTGCCACTCGGGAAGGGCACACAGGAATTTTGCCTTTGGTGTCCTGCCTGCCCCACCCTCTGCAGGCAGACTTTAGGAAAAGTGGTGTTTAAAATAAAAAAGGGTGAGATAAGAGAAGGGGAAGGGCTCATCTCAGCCCTTTGTACTTCCACAGGGCTCCTCTGTAAAACGAGTGTGATTTCTGTCACCCTTGCTGCAGAGCACCGTGTGCTGGAGACCTTGTCCCAACATCAAGCTCCTGTGTGCTCATTTTCCCCCTGGAACAGCTCATTCCTCTTGCATGTGGCTCTAGGGGACAGCCACCGTCCCTCTCTCACCCTGCCTGTTCTGCACAGCCTGACCAAGCTCTGCCAGAGGTTGGCCTGCAAAGAGTTCCTCGTCCTGATGTCAAAACCTGCACCACGCCCACCATCAGCTGGGACACAGCACACCCTGCAAGAGCCCCTCTGGTTTCTGCACCAAGGAGTTCATAACTCCCCTTCTCCTCCCTGCTGGCACAGTCCTGGAATGAACAAGCAGGAGAGCTCAGCTCTGCTAGGAGGGTACCTACAAAATGTGAGCTTGGCTCCCAGCTGCTCTTCAAGCCCTGCCCAAGGACAACTCCTGAGCTCTGGGTGCTCATTCTCAGGCACCATCAGGGCTTTCTGCCCCTGCCTGTCCCCAGGACAAAGATTTCTGCCTCTCTGTGGTCTTGGCAGAAGCAGTGATGTGTCTCCTCCATGGTCATTGCAGAGTTCAGCCTGCTGCACCAGTGCACTCTGCAGGAGCAGGTGACTTCAGCCAGGACAGCAGATCACATATGTGGTTACAAAGGGCTCTGCTATGGCAGGGACAAAGATCATTTGGAAGGATAAGGTGGATAAGCAGGAGAAGTCACCTCTGAAACCTCATGGAGCCTAAAATCCTAGATCAGCCTTTGCAGCCTGGCTCATCTCAGCTTTTGCCTTCAGAAATTCAGAGCTCAATTTCTGCTACAAAATTGGGCTGTTTGATTTCTGCAGCTTGCTGCAGCACCTCCTGCTTCCACACACCAGGATGTCAAGGGAATACTGGCATTGTCTGGTGTAATTGTGCTCTAGGGGCAGCAACAGCAAAATTGCTGTACATTTTCCTCCACTTCAGCCCTGCAAAACCCTTTTCATCTCCCTGTAATGCAAGTTTTCAATCACTCTCCTCTATCTCCAATGCTGAGTTACACAGGATCCCATCTTTAGGGAAGCATCACAGCGTTAAAACTCCCTTTCAAATGTATTTTAATTAAGTATTTATAATTAATACTGGAAGCTGGGTAGAGGATGACAAGTCCTGGCCTTTGGTGTCTCCCAGTCCCCCATGCACAAACACAAATGAGCTGCCAACACACTCCCCAAAGCTGCATCCTGAAACTCAGTGATCCTGTTGAGGTCTGCATGCTTGGAAGGAAATTAAGGAGCGCCAGCAGCAGCCACGACCACGTTGTCTTTAAAGCTGAGGAATGCTTTGGAAAGTGATTGTGTACAAAGATAATCATAAAAAACCCCAAATATTTCATGCTGTCCTCATGCTCAGCCTCATTTCACCAAGCACCCATCTATTACATCTGATGGTAAAGATAACTTTACTACCACAACCTTACCTCAAGAAGTGCAGCCCCACATGCATTCACAGCTGTGCTTTGGGAGTTAAGTGGAATTGTTGGAAATCTCCCAGAACTGAAGGAACTTCACTTGAACATGAGAAAAAGGGGAGGGGAGAAAAACACAGCCAGTAGATTAGACTCTGTGATCTGATCCACTTGAGGCACAAAGGACATTAAAATAGAACTGAAACTCAAATTTGATGAAGCCAAGAGAGAGCGAAGCTGGGTGTAATTAATCTACAAGATTCACGGGCACAAATTATCACAGAGGCCAAGAGCTTGTCCCTGAAAGTGTGGAAATATATACATTTATACACGCACCTGAGCAGATATAAATATATGTGTATAACTGTGTTCTCTCAGGGCTGAAAAGGAGTTGACAGCACCATTCAGTTTTTCCCCCAGCTCCAAGACAAGATCAAATAGACGTCGGTATTTTCTGACAGATGTTTGTCTAGACCTGTTTTTAAACAGAGAATCTCCCACCTCCCCAGGCAATTTATCCCAGCACTTCCTTTTCTTCTTCAGCTTCACACACACACGCACAGGTATCTTTATCTCAGAAGGTGAGGGGAGCAGCCTCTGATGCCTTGCACATCAAAAGGCTTTGTGAAGTCATTTCTCATGGCAAGATCTTTCTTGCGGGTGACGTACGAGCCCAAAAGATCCCATCGTGACCTGAGGTGACAGGCTGGGCTTGGGGGACAGCAGATGGGGCAAGGGGGGGCCAATGGGGAAGGAGGGGGAAATTCAGTCTTTTCCTTATTAACCCGTCAGATTTGTCTGCTGATAACACAGAGCAGCTTTGTACGCTTCATTTTTAGACTCAGACGTTAAGTTCCTCTCTTTTTTTGATGGAATAAATACACTTTTGGCTTCTTCAGCAGCCACCTCAGAAGAGATGCTGTCCTGTCAAACTTCAGTAAGGCAGAGGAAGGGATGAGGAATGAGGCTGTGCAGCTGGAATATGTAAATGGCAGGATGGAGAGTAGCACTTTTCCAGCCACCCTGGATATCTATTACCTCCACTTTTGGACTGACAATGCACCAAATGTTTCATTGCCTGGGGCCTTACAAAGCTGACCAGCTTTTATAGCTGAAAGCACTAATGTAGAAAGGCAATTGGGAATTAATTATTTAATGTGGTTCTCATTGGTAGAAAGCTTCCACCCCTCCTGCATCTCAGCTACCATTATACATATGTTGCTTTTCTTCAGACTACAGTGATTAGACAGCAGAGGAAAATGATGGCTAAGTCCTGTTCCCACTTGCAATGAACTCCATTTAAATCAGCAGATTTGCATTCAAAAACCAAGGGCACACTTTGGCCCTGTGCTAGGAAAACACTGTTTATGACAAAAAAACCATAACTAGATTACAGCATCTCAATTTCTGAAAATTAGCCTTTTCATACGTGTGCTCCCAAATTCCCTCTTTGAAAGGCAGAATATTCCTACTTAAAAATTAAAATCCATGCAAGTAGCCCTATTTGTAGGAAATTACATCAAGCTCCCTTTAATTTGGCTCTTTGGATGCCTCACTGGAGCAGAGAGAAAGGTGTATCCCAAATCCACTGCACATTGGTTCAGCTCCAACTTCTCCCCAGTTCTAAGATAAGCATCTATTTTATTTAGAGCCTTTTTAGTTATGACCTGTGAAGAAGCAAATGTCCTTTTGAAGATCTCCCTGCAACAGCTGCATGCCAGAGACTCTTGGCCAAATTACTTGAAGAGCTTAAGGATCAGGCCCCATGTATTTAAAAAAACAAAGTGCAAAATAAGATTCTGCAGCGGGGCTGAAAAGGGGCATGAACTTACCTGTCAGTTGTGATACGTGGGAAACTGGTAACTTCTTCCCTGCAGTCAATACCTCCAGAATCATTCCAGATGAAGATCCAACAGGATCCTGCTGAAATTCAATGTAGTGAATTACACCAGGAATTAATTTATTGCAATGTGTCATATTTTTCCAAATACAAAATATATTGGGTTTGCCTTTTTTTTTTTTTTTTTTTTGGCCCTTCAGATGAAAGATATATGGCTGTACAGATGTGCTTTTCTAAGATCCAGTGGCATGAAACCTGAAATGTCCCAGCAAGATTCAGGAGCGAGTTTTAATCACCATGGAAGCACGACACTTTTGAAGGTCTATGAAATTATACACCCAGGTCTGAGAAGAGTAAACTTATCCGTCTGGAGAGATCTGCTGATAAACAGAGACAACTCATTTTCTCCTGGAAAGCTGCATTATATGCTGTTTGAAAAAATAATCAGATGATAGAGACAGGTTTGTGCTGGGAAGAGAAACGAGGAAAAAAAAAAACAGCCCTGGGAGAGGTTTTCTGTGGGGGAAAAGGGAAGGCAGTGTGAAAGTATTCCCTGCAAATTCAGGAGATGGAAGAGAACAAGGGCTGAGCATCTCTCAGGGCCAGACAGAGCAAGGCTGGCGACGACAGAGGCATATGGGGACCCACCCAGGGCGCAGACAGACCGGAGGACCCCCAGCCCTCGGCTCACGCAAGGTGACCTTTCCCCTCTCTAAAATTTCAAAGCTGGCGTTGCCGGCGCTGAACAGACTGTGTGCCATATGTAACATGACCTCAGCTCTGCTCTGCCAAGCCACTGATGGCATCACTAATGAGAGGTGAAAGGTCCCCTCCTTGCAGCCAGCCTGGAAAGCCACCAGGGCGGTGGGTGCGGGATGGGCCCCCCAGCACTGGATCGACCCCACAGCCCCCTGCCCCCACACGTGGGTGCCCGCTGACCCACCACAGGCACACACACAGCCCTCCAAAAGGGTGATGCTGCCTCTTCCCTTGGCCCAACTGAAACTGGCACAGTCCCCCAGCAATGGGAATATTTGTTCAGCACCCGAATGCAAAGCACACGGGCAAACAGAGCCTGGGATGTAAATCCTGTCCCCAGTCCAGCTGCCACCCTTGCAAGCCCCTGCTCCCAGTGTGGATCGTGCGTTGGCCAGGTGGGGAGAAGGATTTGTGCTGGGGGATGGCACAGAGGGACGAGAGCCTCAAAGTGCCTGCCTCGATCTGGGGAGGACCCAAAATGTAATTTAGATTTTTGTCCAAGCATTTTGCACGGAAATCATTATAATAATATATTGCGCCAAAAACAACCCAACAAAACCAACCATCACCCTTGCTGCCTTTTTGTTGTTGTTGTTCCTTTTTTAAATAAGGGGTTTTTCGCAGTTTTCCCAGTGTCCAGCGCCCCCATCCTAGGCATCACCTAAGGCAGGGACAGACGGGACCCACCCCTGAACTCCCTGCCCCGGACGTGTGTGGGGACGGTCCGTGTGAGTGCGGGTGGGACTCACAGATGCGGGTGGGGGTGCCCGCGTGGGTGGGGTGCGGAACCCGGGTGGGTCCGTGCACACAGGGCTCGGTGTGAGCACACAGGGGAGCGGGGTGTGCCCGCCGGAGCTCTGTGCCACTTGAGGAGCTCTGCGGGACCCAGTGTTCGGGGTAGGAGGATGGGGATGTGCCCACGGCTGGATTTTGGGGTACGGAGGGGCACACAGAGGGGCACAGGCGGGGGGGTGCGCACGTCGGTGGGAGCGCACAGGAGGCGCGTGTGGGGTGACACACGGGTGGGGTCACAGCGCAAGTGACACACGGGTGGGGTCACAGCGCGGGTGACACACGGGTGGGGTCACAGCACGGGTGACACACGGTGGGTGTCACAGCACGGGTGCGGGCGGGGGCTGCCGTGCCCCGCACCCCCAGGCCAGCCCCGGCACCCCGGGGGGATCGGCCGGGCTGGAGCCGCCTCCCCGAGCGCACGGCGCGGAGAAGGCGCCCGTGGTTTGTTTCGCTTCTGGAGTGACTCATTCCTGGCAGATGTGGCACCGCCGAGGTGCAGCGGGGACCCACCCACGCCCTCAGTACAAACACCCCACCCGCGGCCGTGCTTCTGCCTCCCCACGCAGGGCCGGACCCGCGGGGAAGGGGCTGGATTTACCCCTCGCTGCTCTTCTGCCGGGGGATTCATTTTTACATCGCACCCGGCGCTGAGAGATTCAATTATTCGTTCCAAATATTATTCTGCCCCTCGCCCTCAGCGCACCCTGATCTCACAGGGGCTCAGGCGAAGCTGCCCACGCGTGTTGGGTCGCGCTGGGACATATCCAGCTGCCGGCCGAGGAGTGGCTGCAGAGGGGCAGCTGCGGCGTGTTTTTCTCCCACGGAGGAGCCGCATCCCGAGGGAACATCCTGCCGGTTGCAGAGAAGCAGCCCTCGGAACCCGCGGCAGCCCCGCGCCTGGTTTGGCTGCAGCCTAATTCCTGCTGCACTATCTTATTGGGAAAAAAAAATAAATTAAAAATTAAGAACGAGGCAGAAATTGCAGCTAACATTGCCTCGCGTTACGGCAAACGCTGTTACGTTGGAAAAAGCGAGAAAAACAACGTCGGGAGAAAGCGAATCTCAGCGCCGATACCGCACGTCCCTGCGCGCCCGCGGGGGGATCCCAGCGCCCCTTTCCCCCCTCGGCGTGGGGACCCCACCCCCGCAGTGGGGCTGCGGCTCTGAGGGGCTCTGGGGCGAGCAGCTGGGCATGGAGGGGTGGGGGTGTCCCCCTTAGAATGGGGGGCTGCAGCTGATGGGGGGAGCTGCGCACGCCGGGTACCCCAGGGCCGTGTCACGGACACGAACGCGCGGGGAGAGGCAGCACAGCCCGTGCCGGCTGGAAGGAGAGCCGGCAAAGCTTCCGTGCAGAAAAGGAGTTAAACCCCGCCGTTGTCCTTTGATTTAGGAAATGGCTCATCCAATTCAGTTCCAGATTATTCAGGGGCAGGCTGCCTCGCTCGCTCCCTCTCTCCCCACACCAGCCCAAACATCTTGAAGTAATCAGCAGCTGAGAACGGAGACGTCCCCCTGGCATCTCAGGTTAAAGAAGGAGGTCCAGGAAAATGTGGTAGAGCCATTACAAGAAACCTGAGATGCATTCATCAGAGACTCCAATTGCCATCGCATTAGGATTGATTAGAGACCAGCAGTACCGTAATGACCCGGAAAGCGGGGCATACGGGGATTATTAATATCAGACTTCTCAAAGGGGAAGGAAAAAAAAAAAAAAAAAAAAAAAAAAAAAAAAAAAAAAAAGAAAAGAGAAAAAACCCGAGGAAAACAGGGAAGAAGCAGGAGGGAAAATTAAAAAAACAAAAACGCATCGCGGGGCTGCTGCTCGGATGCAGACTTACCTGAGACCACAGGCACCGGCGAGCCGCACGGACGAGAATTTATCTAACTTCTGGGGGAAAAAAGCAAACAAACATGGAAAAAATTGCCTCTGGACCCCCTGAAATCCCCTGCTCCCATGCACGGCTGGCACAGAGATTCCCAGAGCTGCGGCCACGGGCCGGGCGGGCACGGTTCGGGGGTCCAGCCGGGGGCTCCCCCTCCCGGGCCAAAGGACGCCGGTCCCCGGGCTGGCGACAGCAAGGACAAGTTAAAGAGCCACCAAAGAGGAGCGAGGAGACCTCGGTGGCTCGTCTCCTTCTCAGTTCCCTGCGCCAAAACAAATCAGCCCCTCCTGGTCTCGGTTTAAATGTAGCTCACTGGATAATTAACTCCATCTTTCCAGCCCTGCTTTAACTGTTTATTTAGTGTCACCCCGTATTACCATCACTAGCACTTTCCTCTGAACAGGAGGAGCTGGAGGGTTTCACCTCCCAAAAGGAAATTCTTCGTAGCTTAAAAGAATCAGCATCCAGGAGGTACATTAGCGAAAAGAGAAGGGGGGAACGGGATCTGGGGGTCCCATGGCAAAAGCAGGAGGAAATAAGGGTGGAGGTGGGGGGACAGGGACAGAAAGACGTATCGGCCCTCGGAGAGAAGAAAACAACGCGTGATCACCTCTAATCCTTTGAAAAATGTCCCGGTAAGTGCGCGAAGAAAGAGCCCTTTGTGCCCTGGGGATCGGCCACATCAGGAAGGCCTTATCCTCATCCTCCTCCTGCCCCAGCATCCCGGCCCGGCCCGGCTCGGCCCGGCCTGACCCCGCTGGGTGCGGGGGGACCCCCTCGCCGGGCACCCCCGGGGCGCGGGGCCCGGGCAGGGACGCGGCCCCCGCCCCGCGGACAGCGGCTTTGTTTTTACAGGTGTCGGGAGGGCAATTTACTAACAAGTAATTAAAGGTCGCACCGGTTTGCAGGCGAGCCGGGCCAGAGGCTGCTGCAAGAGAAGAGCGGTGCGTATGGAGAGAGGGGTTTGTTCTTCCTCGTTAAAAAATAGAATAATAAAGGAGTGGGGGGAGAGAGGGGGAGAAAGAAAATACAAATCCTTTATTGTTGGGGAATAAGCCGGGAAGCTGGCTGTCTCCCTGCGCCTCGCATTCGGCGGGGAAGGCGGCGCGGATCCGGTATCACGTTGCAGATCCTCACTCGAGATAACGAAATGCGATCTATTTTTCAGAACAGCAAGTGGATGGGAAAGGAGCCTCTACAACATAAACCTCATTGACTTAATGGGTCGGTTTTGGATTTCGCCTTCGAAATGTTCGGCGAGTGGCAGCGTTGTGTTTCTGCCCCGCCGGTTCCCAGCCTTCAGCCCCGGTTCTCATCCCGACGAGAAGCGGCTCCCAAAAACCCGCTGTTGGTTTTGTTTTGTTGCGCTGTTTGTTTCCTCCAGAACCTCGTACTTCTAGAAAAAAAAAAAAAATTAAATTTTACTTTTGATTGGGGAAGAGCTTTATTTCTAAGCTCGGAAGGAAATGGGGGATATATTTGAGTTACTTTTTTTTTTCTGCTTTGTTTTGATTTTCTGGCGAAATCGAGGAAAAACCCGCAGCGTGTTGCGTGGGCTCCATCTTCACCCCCGCCCTAGCTGTATAAATACATCGAATAAATAAGGGAATAAATGAATTTTCCGCACAAACAGAGCCGATGGGTGCCCGGGCAATGGGGGCGAGCAGCGGAGGCCCCCTCGCTCGGCTGCCACCTCTCCGCGGGCGCGGAGGAGCCAGGCCCCGGCGGCGGGGGCAGCCCGGGAGCTCCGGCCGGCCGGGCAGCGGGGAGATGCTCCGGGTGATGCTGCCGGGCTGCTCCTGCTCCGCCGGCAAAGGAAGCACCGAGAGGGGCCGGCGGCAGCTCTGCGCCGTTGTCTTGTTCGGTGGCTTTTTGTTTATTTGCATCTTCCTTGTTTATGGTTTGTTTTTATTTTTTGAGCGGCTCGAAACTCTCATTTTTGTTGTTGCTTTTGTGATTTTTTTTTTCAAGGGTTAAATGGGATGGGGTGTTCTGGAAATACATTTGCCTCTTCCCGTGGTTCGAAATGAAAGGTTCCCAATTTTTAGGAAAACCAACCCCGGAGCCTTAACGAACATTGATGCGCAGCGGTCCTTGCCTGCAGCAACTCCCAGATAGACCCCGGCGGGTCTGTTCCCTCTTTTTGTGAATTTTGGTGAGAGGGGAGAATAAAGCCCCGCTCAAGAATCGCGAGGAAGCCTCTGCTCAGCCCTCGCCCGTGTCTGTCAGCTCTTCCGCCGATCGCATCGGGATCATTTGCTTATTCCCATCAAGAGCGGTGTTTGTTTTGGTCGGCCTTTTAAAGGAGGAAAAAAAAAAAAAAAAAAAAAAAAAAAAGGGAAAAAAAAAAAAAAAAAAAAAAAAAGGAAAAAAAAAAAAAAAAAAAAAAAAAAAAAAAAGGAGAACTCTGAGGGCAAGAGAAGCCCGCTCTCGTTACAATGCCCAGGGTCTTCCCCAGTCCCGCGTTGCTTTTCTCTCCTCCTCATCCAGAAGTTACAAACCCTCAGGTCCGTGCTCTTCCGGGGCTGAGCACCTCATTAGAAAGGAGGAAATAAAATTTAAAATGAATAACAATAGAAATGAGGGATGGGGGAACCCATCCCTAGGCTGGGCAGGGCGCTGCTCCTCCAGGACGCGGCCGCGGGCGAGCCCATGCCTTATAATTCTGCGCACTTGCTCCAGACTTTAGGGTATTAGTTGATTTTAGAGCCGGGTTTAAGGCTCCGTTCCGGTCCCCACACAGCTGCCTTGTCAATAAGGATCTGTTCCAAGTAGACATTCCTTCTGGGAGGACATTGAAGCTCTTTAAGACTTCATCTGCAACATCATAAGTACTAAAATAAAATGGCAAGGGAAAATTACCAGACACATGGTCATGGGATATGGAAGCGCCCTGACTCCAGCGGACATAGTACAGTCGCTGTACAGACTGGGTGGCAGGGGCTTAATTTAAACAGCCCCGAGACGCGAAGTACGTGGGAAAAACAACAATCCGGATTTAGGAAAATATCGGCCTTTCCCACGTCGTGGCTCGGGCAGAGGCTGCGGGCACGGAGCGCCGCCCGCCCCGGCTCCGAGCCCCGCGGCCGGGAGCGGGCTCTTCTTCCCTCGGAGCAGTGAACTCAAATAAATCCGACTTGGTAGGTCAAATAAATCCGACTGTCTTAGTGAGGACAAACAGGTTTTAAAGAGCCCCACGATGGCTCTTAGCACCCGCGGAACGAACTCATTCCTGAATCCAAAGCGTTCTGGAGTGTGCTTAAAATAAGGGCTTCGACTTATCTAATCAAAGATAAATAGAGCCATAAAGACACCCCCAGCCCCCCGCGCCCTGCCCTTATCTCACCGCATTGTCCTCACCTCCCTGCTGACAATAGATTATCTTTGCTTAGGGAGCCTAATTGTTTTCTAATTTTTTTAAATAATTGCTTTTTGAGCGGGGCTGTGCAAATGAGGATTAGGCTAATTAAAGCGCCGCCGGTGGGTGCAGCGCTGCTACCCGCGTTCTGCACGGGGCTGCCCCGACCCGCCGGGCCCCCCTCCAGAGGCGGACGGGGCAGAGCGAGGGGCAGGAAGGGGCGCACGGGCCCCGCGCGTTATTCAGCTCCTCACGAACGCATTATTTATTCATCCCCAGCTCGAAGGTAATTAAATACGGGCTGCCTGGGCGGGAGGGGGGGAGGGGGGCAGGAGTTTTGGGGCGGAAAAAAGATGGAAGAAAGAAAGAAAGACAAGAGCCCGCCGGCAGCGGCTTCCCCGGAGGGCGGCGGGGCTCCCCCCGCGGCCCCGGGGCCGCACCCGCGCAGAGGCGGCGGCGGGACGCGCAGCCGCGGCCGGGGCCGTGGCCGGGCTGGGCCGGGCCGGGCCGGGGGTGCCCAATCAGCGCGGCGCGGGGGCTCGGGCGCTTTAAGCGCGGCGGCGGCGGAGCGGGGACAAAGTCCCCCCGGCGCCGCGACGAGCATCCCCGCTCGCCCGACACACCGCCCTCGGCTGCCGCAGCGCCTCCCCGCTCTGGGGCCGGCACCGGCACCGGGATCGGGATCAGCACCGGGCCCGGGCCCGGCGGGCGCCTACCCCGCGCCCCTCCGCCGCCGCGCTCCCGCGGGGCGCCCGTCGCCTCCTCCTCGTCCTCGTCGTCCTCCTCGTCCTCCTGCGGCCGCCGCCGCTCTCGGCCATGTCGATGCTGCCGTCGTTTGGCTTCACGCAGGAGCAGGTCGCCTGCGTCTGCGAGGTGCTGCAGCAAGGGGGGAACCTGGAGAGGCTGGGCCGCTTCCTCTGGTCGCTGCCGGCCTGCGACCACCTGCACAAGAACGAGAGCGTCCTCAAGGCCAAGGCGGTGGTGGCCTTCCACCGGGGCAACTTCCGCGAGCTCTACAAGATCCTGGAGAGCCACCAGTTCTCCCCCCACAACCACCCCAAGCTGCAGCAGCTCTGGCTGAAGGCGCACTACGTGGAAGCCGAGAAGCTGCGGGGCAGACCCTTGGGCGCCGTCGGCAAATACCGCGTCCGCCGAAAATTCCCTTTGCCCCGCACCATCTGGGACGGCGAGGAAACCAGCTACTGCTTCAAGGAGAAGTCCCGGGGCGTGCTGCGGGAATGGTACGCCCACAACCCCTACCCGTCCCCCCGGGAGAAGCGGGAGTTGGCGGAAGCCACCGGTCTCACCACCACCCAGGTCAGCAACTGGTTCAAGAACAGAAGGCAACGGGACCGAGCGGCGGAGGCGAAGGAAAGGTACGTGCCACCCTCCGATCCCCGCTTTTTCCCTGCTCCACCGCGCGGGGGGCTTTTGGGAACCCCGGGAGCTGCTCCGGGAGCGCGGCGAGTACCCGGAGCCGGATGGGATAGGAGCGACGAAAACACACGGTTCCCTTCAAGTCCCCCCCTTTTCTTCTTTCTTTTTTTTTTTTTTTTTTTTTTTTTTTTTTTTTTTTTTTTTTTTTTTTTTCCCTCGTAAACCGCCTTGCCTTTTCCCCTTCCGTGGAAACCCAAACGGGTTTTTCACTCGACCTCACCTGCCCTGGGGGAACAACGAGCCCCCACCGTCCTCTTCCAGGCCGTTCCGCCGCCTTTGTTTGCTGCCTGCCTTCCCGAGCAATCCGGGAGCGATGCGGAGCCTCCGGGAAGCGGTCGGGATGCCGGGCCGTGTGTGGCCGGGGGTCGGGCAGGGTAGCTCTGGAGCTCGGAGCAGAGAAGAGATGCAGCTCCGGGATGGCGAGGCGGGGGGAAGCAGAGGAGACCGGGATGCGGACGCGCTGGCCGGGCCGGGCCGCCGCCCGTACCGAGGCCATCCCGGACCCCGGCAGGCGACGCGGTGGCCTCGGTGCGAGGCGGCTGCTCGGCCCGGAGAGGCAGAGCCACGGAGGGCATCTCCTTCAGCCACCTCCCCACCGAGCCGCCTGGAGAAAACCTCGCACCCAGCTCGTCCCCGGGCCGCGCTTTCATTTTTAATTAAAAAGAAAACGGCCCCCCAAAAAAATCCCTTCCTCCAGTTTTCTCTCCTCACCTAAATAACCGGGCTGTTCAGTGTATTTATTTGTAGGAGGGATAAAAGAAATAGGGACGATCCGTTATGAAATTATTAGGATTATTTTTCCCCCTTCGAGAAGCATCTGCTCCCACGCTGGAACTAAACGCGAAGGATTTACGGTGGGCATTAGCACAATGCCCATCCCCGCCGCCTCGTGCCCGCCCTAACATCCCCGTCGTGCGATTATATATACAAAAATTTTAATTTTTTTGCCTTTCTGCAGAGAGAACACGGAAAACAACAACGCGGCCACCAACAAACCGAACCAACTCTCGCCTCTGGATGGGAGCAAACCCCTCATGTCCAGCTCCGAGGAAGAGTTTTCTCCTCCCCAAAGCCCGGATCAGAACTCGGTCCTGCTCTTGCAGGGGAACCTCAGCCACGCCAGGAGCTCCGGCTATTCCCTGAGCGGCTTGGCCGCATCCCAGACCCCGCACAGCCTCCAAGGCCACCAGCTCCAGGACTCGCTGCTGGGACCCCTCACGTCCAGCCTGGTGGATCTGGGATCCTAAAGGCCGTCGGAGGATGGGGAGAAGAGGTTCTGCTCGGGGACAGAGGCTCTGGGTTGTACATAGAGGACAGCACCCGGTTTTACAGGTCACCCGCTGATTGTTAACGGGACTCTCGTCTCTTTTCACACAACCCCGCATCGGCTCTTGCTCCAGTTCCCCCTCAGCGTCTCCCACCATCACCACGATTTTTAATTTTTTTTTTTTTCCACGTAGCCAAACGCAGAGAGCGGCAATAACCCTCATCAGCCCTTCGAGTTCAAACGAGTTGGTCCCAACGGGAATTACAAAAAAAAAAAAAAAAAAGAAAAAAGAAAAAAAAAAAAGAAAATAAATAAAACCCCCAACCCCTGCTGGATCCGATTCTACCCAAACAAATCCCAGCGCCGCGGGCGCGGTGGGGCAGGGTCGGCCGGCACATCCCTGCTGCTGCCTGGCCCGGTCCCCGAGGAGCTGGGACGGGGACAGAGGGAGAGAACCGCTGTGCTGAGCCCTGTGGCGGAGCGGGAGGAGGGAGGGAAAGTTACGTTTACATTTTTCATATTTAGCCTTACCAAAAAGATTTCGATGTAGTTTAAATTAAAAAAAAAAAAAAAAAAAAAAAAAAAAAAAAAAAAAAAAGGAAAAAGAGTGGAAAAAAATATATCAAAAGCTGCAGTATTAGAGTTTTACCAAGTGCCTGTGTCTGACCGCGGCCGTGCGAGGCAGATACTGAGTGGGCTCCCGTGGACCCGCGTCCCCCACTTTTCTCCTCTTCGGTGGTGAAATGCATTGATGTGGCTAAAAATTAGGATAATAATAGTAATAATAAAAGTCGACGGCCATTTCCTCCTGAACTGCGCCGCCAGTTCCCCGTTGCCTTCTCCCGTCTGTGCCCGCTCGCCGCCTCCCTCCTCCGGCTTGCAGAGAGCCCGCGGATGACGCTGCCTGTCTCGAGTATTTGTTACCAAAAATCGCATGTGCTTTCGGGTTTATTTTCTATTGTACCTAAACAGTCTAAATTAAACAACGCTGATGGCAGAACACCCAGGCTGCGCTTTTCTTTGCAGGGGCGAGCCCGTGCCCGTCTGCCCGCCCTCGCCCCCTCCCCACGGGCTGCAGCGGAGAGGTTCGGGGCTGCGGGGAAGCCGGTGGCTCGGAAAGGGAGCAAGGACGAGGACAGGGGACCCGTGGAGCCTGCTGATCCCCGAGGGAGCCGGGCACCCGGCCGGGAAGGAGCGCCTGGCCCCGCCGCCCGCCCCGTCGGGGCCTCGCTGGTGCCGGTGTTCCCTGCTAGCGTTTTGCATCATTAAGCGCGTGTTTATTTAAGTCGCTGCCGTGTTTGTGCTCGGGGTCTTGGGCCATGGAGAAATGTCACCCTCTGCAGGAGGGTCTTGCCCGGCGCGTCCCTCCCGCTCGATGCCCAGCGGGCCCCGCTCCAGAGCCCCTCGGGGATCCCCACCCGCGCCCTCCCGGGGCAGCGGCTCCGTGCCCAGCCTCGCCCTCCCGGCTCCGGCTGCGGGAGCCGGCCCGGGACACTGGGATGGTTTCCCTGCTCCCTCCGGACGGGCCCGGCCGCCCCCTCGGAGAAAACGGAGCAGATCCCGCCGGGCTTCCTGCGCCCACGACGCTTTGGGGGGCATGGCCGGGGCTGGGGGGGACCGCGTGGCTCCGAGCACCGGGGGCGGAGGGCGCAAATGCCGCGCACGGCCGCGCAAACCGCGCGGGGGGCGCGCAGCTGCTTGCGCTCCTCCGCGGCCGCGGAAGGAGCGGGGGCAGGAGCCGGAGTTGTGGGGGGAGCATGGACCCCCTCTCTTGGTGTGCAGCGACCCCGACCTCGGCTGCCCGGCAGGGGAAGGGGACGGAGGCGGGGAGCCGCCGGGACGGCAGGGGACAGGACGGGACGGTCCGTGCCCCCGGTCCGGGCTCGCCCTCTTGTCCCTTCCCGGGGTCCTTCATCACCTTCCGGGGGTCTCATCCAGTTCCTGGATCCGTCACAAAGCAGCGCAGCCGCTCCCGTCCCCTCGGGCAGAAAAGGGGAACTCCCGGGGAAACGCAGGGTGTTTTTAGGGTCAGCAGCTGCGGGTTCTGCTCCTCGAGGATGGATAAGCTCCAGCTCCTTTTTTTTTTCCCAAACCACGGGCTCAATGAAGAGGAAGGATAAATATTGCCCGGGGTTCCAGCCCTGCGCGGCGGGAAAGCCAAGCAAGGACTGGCAAACCAGGAGTTATTTTCAAAGAAAACAGCTCAAAGGCGCTTCCTGCGTGTAGGCAGCGACAGGGTTGGTTGTCGAAGGCTGGGGAAGATGCCATGGGATGCTCCCTTTGCCCAA